TTGGCAGACCGTGCAAAAAGAATCTGCGAACCCCACCTCCTCCAAGATGAACTGAACCACCTCAACTGGGCTCTCCAGGCCAATGGATACTCCACCTCAGACATCAGAAGAGCTGCAAGACCAAGAACAAGCCACGAGAGTCAAGATGAAGATCCACCCAAAGGAAAAGTGTTCCTGCCATACATCAAGGGAACCACTGACCGCATAGGGAAGCTGATGAGGAAACACAACATACAAACAATCTGCAAACCCACCAAGAAAATCCAACAAATGCTACGTTCAGCAAAGGACAAGAGGGATCCTCTCACCTCTGCAGGAGTCTACCGTATACCATGCAGCTGTGGACAAGTCTACATAGGGACCACCAAACGCAGCGCCCAAACACGAATCAAGGAACATGAAAGGCACTGCAGACTACTCCAACCAGAGAAATCAGCCATAGCAGAGCACCTGATGAACCAGCCTGGACACAGCATATTATTTGAGAACACAAAAATGGTGGACCACTCTCACAACCACCATGTCAGACTACACAGAGAAGCCATTGAAATCCACAAGCATGTGGACAATTTCAACAGAAAGGAAGAAACCATGAAAATGAACAAAATCTGGCTGCCAGTATTAAAAAATTCAAAAAAATATATGCAAAAACAGCAGAGAGAAAACAGGCAGGGACATCTAATTACCTTTCAAGAAGAGTTTGCTCCAGGCATAGTCAGCCCATTGTATGCTAATCAAGGTGGTCAGTTGAAAGATTCACACCTAGCCCAACTTACAAAAGCCCTTTGTCTCACCCTGGTCATTCCACAGATATATAAACCCCTTTTTTCCCAGTTCCAGCAGACCTCACCTCTGAGGATGCTTGCCATAGATGCAGGCGAAACGTCAGGAGAAATGCCTCTAGAACATGGCCATATAGCCCGAAAAAACCCACAAGAACTGAACATGGTGGAGTTTCCTTCTTAGGAGATTTTGAAACAGAGGCTCCATGACCATCTGTCAGAAGTGTTTTCCTTGTATATTCATGCCTGGCAATTGGGGCTGGGCAGGAGGGCCCTTGGGGTCTCTCTGAGCTCTATTGTTCTGTGATTGCATCTCATACCACCCAGAGAGTCAAACTCCGGACATAAAAGGCGAGACCCCTCCAGTTCCATTCTTCCTTTTGTCCTGAGAAATAGCCTATTTAAATTTCAATTAGAAAGTCCATTAGGTCAATCAGATAAAGTCATACATCCTAAGGAGGACTTTGCCTTTTTATGGCCTTCGCCTCTTCAATTATCTATAATGAACTTCCTCACGTCGCCTCAAACCTTTTAATATGCTAACGGGTCTTTTATGGGGTCCGCTGGAATTGCTTCCTGTTAATGAATTGGAAACAAGTCTGATCAGAAAGGTTAGGGTGCCGGCATGAAGAGCAAGGGGGACCACGTCAGTGTTGCAAATACTATCCAGCAAATATCACAGGAGGCCAAATCCTCCGCTCCCTTTGAATGGGACAATCTTGCAGCCCTGCTTTCCCCTGGCTTAGACTCTTCTAACTCCAAGGTATTTGGAGAGTGACCATTTACCCCATTTCTGTTTGCTCCACCTATAGTGTTGCCCCTATGATACACTTTCCCCTGTCCTATACTGAAAGCCTACCCAACTGTTTAATCTTTTTGGGCTCCCCTCCATTATATATTTTCTTTCCTACCTCATCCAGGGTTTTATCAATTTTTTAATCAAAACAGCAGAGAGGAAACAACCAGGCACATCTTAACACCTCTCAACAAAAGATTTTCCCAGGCTCAGGCAGGCCTTCAAATGCTAATGAAGGTGGTCAGTTGAAACATTCACACCTAGCTCCAGCAGACACCCTGGTCATTCCACAGATATATAAACCCATTTTCCTACTTCCAACAGACCTCACAACCTCTGAGGATGCTTGCCATAGATGCAGGCAAAACGTCAGGAGAAATGCCTCTAGAACATGGCCCTATAGCCCGAAAAAACCCACAAGGACCTAGTGATTCCAGCCATGAAAGCCTTCGACAATACATTTATCAATTTAACTCATCCATTTGGGCTGCCCATTTTGTTTGATTTCATAATGTGTTAATTTGCTTTATTTATTTTATGTATGTATTTTATTCTGATGTAATTTTTGTTGTCTGCATTCTGTATTTTATTTTGCTGTATTGTATTGTTGTGAACAAATTCAGCCAAGAAAGGGATTCAATAAGTCAGAAATAACTTAATAGTGAGCAACTGTCACAATATTCTCCAACTGGAGACTCCAGTAGAGAAATGGGGAAATTCCTTGGAAATTATCCTGTTCTTGTAAAGCAAGGAAGAAGTAAAATAAATTACCAGTTCTTGCAAATTAAAATAAGTACTAATAATAACAGTATGATACTTTATTTATATGCTGCCCTTCTCCCTGAAGGGACTCACAGCGGATTGCAGCATATAAACCAGGGGTCCTCAAACTAAGGTTCGGGGGCCAGATACGGCACTCCAAAGTCATTTACCCGTCTCTTGCACAGGATCAACCTAAGTCTGAAACACCTTGAAAGCACACAACAACAACAACAACAACAACAACAACAATCATATCTCATCAGCCAAAAGCAGGCCCACGCTTTCCACTGAAATACTAATAAGTTTATATTTGTTAAGATGGTTCTTCATTTTAATTATTGTATTGTTTTGAGTTTTTTGCACTACAAAAAACTCTTCAGGGAGCAAGCTTGTTTACTGCTGTCCTGGAGACTAGGACATGGAACACTAGCTTCAAACTACAAGAAAGGAGATTCCATCTGAACATTAGGAAGAACTTCCTGACTGTGAGAGCTGTTCAGCAGTGGAACTCTCTGCTGCAGAGTGTGGTGGAGGCTCCTTCTTTGGAGGCTTTTAAACAGAGGTGAGGGCCATCTGTCAGGGGTGCTTTGAATGCAATATTCCTGCTTCTTGGCAGGGGGTTGGACTGGATGGCCCATGAGGTCTCTTCTAACTATGATTCTATGATTCTACAAATGATATATATGCAGTGTGCATAGGAATTCATACATGTTTCTTTCAAATTATAATCTGGCCCTCCAACAGTCTGAGAGACTGTGATGTGGCCCTCTGTTTAAAAAGTTTGAGGACCCCTGATATAAACAGACAAAGACAAACATTCAATGCCTTGTTACAATGAAATACAATGACACACAAATACACAAAGGCAAAGGCTTCTCCTTTCAATTCCGGCTCTGGAGGTGGTGCTAATCTCTGGCTCTGGGGGAGGTGTTCTTCTCCATTTCCATTTCTGTGATTCAAATAAGTGCATCTCTCTGGACCTGCAAAAGTTGCTGGACTATGACTCCAATAACCGTGTATAGCAGGCCCTCCACATTTGCTGGGTTGCTAGACATTCCTAAAGAGAACATTTCTCCACACATTTGTAGGTTCTCCAGCATGATTCTGTGGTCAACACAAATTTAAAATGTATTGGTTCAGTCTGCGTTGTCCCTAGACACCTCCTGGTCGTGTGGCTGGCATGACTGCTTAGAGCATCTTTTTCCTTTTCCTGCCGAAGCATACCTATTGAGCTACTCACATTTGCATGTTTTTGAACTGTTAGGTTGGCAGGAGCTAGTGCTAATAGTGGAAGATCATCCCGTCTCGCAGATTCAAACTGAATTTTGGAGTAAGATGTTATCTGTACGCAGATGATGTCCAAATCTGTCACTCCTTCCCACCTGTTATTAAGGAGGTTGTTCAGACCGTGAACCGGTGCTTGGCAGCTGTGTCAGACTGGATGAGGGCTAACAAATTGAAGTTGAATCCAGACAAGATAGAGATCCTCCTGGTCAGTCGAAAGGCTGAACAGGGCATAGGGTTACAGCCTGTGTTGGATGGGGTTACACTCCCCCTGAAGATGCAGGTTCACAGCTTGGGAGTGATCTTGGATTCATCACTGAGCCTGGAACCCCAGGTCTTGGCGGTGGCCAGGGGAGCTTTTGCACAGTTACAACTTGTGTGCCAGCTGTTCCCGTACCTTAGGAAGTCTATATCAACTCCACTGGCTGCTGGTCCATTTCCGAGCACAATTCAAAGTGCTGGTCCTGGCCTATAAAGCCCTATACAGCTCTGGCTCAGCTTACTTTTCTGAACGTATCTCCCTCTACATTCCTCCTTGTAGTTTAAGATCCACCAGGGAGGCCCTGCTCTCGGTCCCACCAGCCTTGCAAATCCGTCTGGTGGGGATGAGGGACAGGGACAGAGGCGGCTCAACCCATTACGCAAAGTAAGCATTTGCAGTATAGTTGATTTTGCCCAGGGGCGCTCTTGAGGCGCTCTTGGGGGAAAATAGACCTTGACATATGCAAGTTGTAGTTACTGCAATGTATAGTTCACCTACAATCAAAGAGCATTCTGAACTCCACCAATGATGGAATTGAGCCAAATATGGCAGACAGAACTCCCAAGACGAACAGAAAATATATATCAGTGATTGGGATTGGGGGGGGGGGCGCCAAAATACTGTTTGCTTACCGTTGAAAATTACCTAGGGCCGCCTCTGGACAGGGCCTTCTCGGTGGTGATCCCCCAGTTGTAGAACTCACTCCCCAGCGAGATTAGATCAACATCCTCCCTCCTTTTTTAATCTTTTGTGTATTGATGATTTTATATTGTTGTTCACTGTGATATTGTGGCATCAAATTGTTGAAAGTGTTAGTTGAGTCCCCCCTCAGGGATTGAGAAGGGCGGGGTAGAAATGTTGTAAAAAATTAAATAAACTGCCAACCTTCAGGTCAGCAGTTCAGCAACACAAGGGTTTAACTAACCCATTGCACCAGCATGGCCCCTTCCTAGGATTCACATCCCTGGACAGCCATCTTTTTAGGCAGTGCAAAAATTATAAAGTACATGCTTCAAAAGCCCAAGGGAATGGACATGTGGCTTTTCTGGTTCTATATGTTTCCTAATTGTATGGTTCTGTTTTTTTCCCCTTCCTTTTCCTTCCCTTTCTGCAGGACTGCCCCCAGCTACTCCACACCAATAAGATTTTGGTTCCTGTGGAAGTGGTCAAACCCATCACGCTCAAGGCCAAGAACTTGCCCCAGCCCCAATCGGGCCAGCGGGGCTACGAGTGCATCATCAACATCCAAGGCAATGAGAAGAGGGTGCCAGCCTTGCGGTTCAACAGTTCCAGCGTCCAATGCCAGAACACTTCAGTGAGTAAGCCCCATTGCTGCAGGGAATGCAAAAAGGGGGGATTGGGAGGCTGGTCGGAAAGTGAGGTATTATTAGGGTTCCAATAGGAAACTTTCCAACATGGGGAAGCCACAGGATGGCTATCGATGCGATGAGATTTTTGTCAGGTGAAGGTCTTTAAAGGGGAAAGGTGAGAATGACAGGTAGGTAGGTAGTTGGCAAGTAGGTATATTTTTAGGACATAGTTATCAAAAATTTGTATCAAATCAATCATTAGAAAGCAGCTAGGTTTATTTTATTTTTATTTATTTATTTCTCGTGTCAGGGCAACCAGTCGATTATATTACATTTCTAACAGAACAAAGCAAACAAACAGAGAAAATACAAAATGTGTGAGTTTGGTAGTTGATTAAATGTCCTTTGACCAGTATCTGGCCACTTGGAGTGCTCTGGTGTTGCTGCAAGAAGGTCCTCCATTGTGCATGTGGCAGGGCTCAAGTTGCATTGCAGCAGGTGGTCTGTGGTTTGCTCTTTTCCACACTCGCATGTGTGGATTCCACTTTGTGGCCCCATTTCTTGAGGTTGGCTCTGCATCTCGTGGTGCCAGAGCGCAGTCTGTTCAGCGCCTTCCAAGTCGCCCAGTCCTTTGTGTGCCCAGGGGGGAGTCTCTCATTTGGTATCAGCCATTGGTTGAGGTTCTGGGTTTGAGCCTGCCACTTTTGGACTCTCGCTTGCTGAGGTGTTCCAGCGAGTGTCTCTGTAGATCTTAGAAAACTATTTCTTGATTTAAGTCATTGACGTGCTGGCTGATACCCAAACAAGGGATGAGCTGGAGATGTCTCTGCCTTGGTCCTTTCACTATTGGCTGCCACTTCCCGGCGGATGTCAGGTGGTGCAATACCGGCTAAGCAGTGTAATTTCTCCAGTGGTGTAGGGTGCAGACACCCCATGATAATGTGGCATGTCTCATTAAGAGCCACATCCACTAGATAAGTAGATAGAATAGATATGTCAGTACACAGGTATATACAACAATGATATATAGATCTCTTAATTCATAGTTATAAGATACATGATGATGATGATGATGATGATGATGCACTTTATTTATATTTCACCCTTCTCCCCTCAGGGACTCAGAGCGGATTACAGTATTTATAGCAGACATGGGCAAACATTCAAAGCCTTACAATCACATACAATGAGACAACAAACACAGACAAGGCAAAGGCTTCTCCTTTCATTTCCTGCTTTTGGGGTTTTTGCTCATCTCTGGCTCTGGGGGAGGTACAGACAAAGGCAAAGGCTTCTCCTTTTATTTCCGGCTTATTATTTTATTTATTTACAGTATTTATATTCCGCCCTTCTCACGCAGCATGGATTACAATGTATATATACATGACAAATATTCAATGCCATAGACACACAACATATATAGACAGACACAGAAGCAATTTAACATTCCAGCTTTTTCATGAGGGTATTCTGGCCACCGGGGAGGCTGTCACTTCACCATCCATTTGTGACACTGATGAAGTACTTCCTCATTCTTTGCATGCTTGCTGGAGATTTTTATGGTGTTCGTAAATTAGCCTCCCCACATAAGCAGTACCTAAATTTCCTACTTGACAGATGCAACTATCTTTCTGGCTCCAAAGGTCGACAGCAAGCTACACAAATTGGTCAGAAGCTCATTCTGACCCGGGCTCCACAGTCTGAAAGTGGTGCTTATCTCTGACTCTGGAGGAGGTGCTTATCTCCATTTTCAAGACGAGGAGTCTGCATTGTTCTGGTCATGTGGCCAGCAAGACTTTTTGCCTTTTCCCAGCAAAGGAGGACAGGAGTCCCCGGTGGTGCAGTGGGTTAAAGCTCTGAGCTGCTGAGCTTGTTGACCGAAAGGTCGCAGGTTTGATTCCAGGGAGCAGAGTGAGCTTCCGCTGTCAGCCCTAGCAGTTCAAAAACATGCAAATGTGAGTAGATCAATAGGTACCGCTCTGGCGGGAAGGTAACGGCGCTCCATGCAGTCATGCCGGCCACATGACCTTGGAGGTGTCTACGGACAACGCTGGCTCTTTGGCTTAGAAATGGAGATGAGCACCACACCCCAGAGTCAGACATGACTGGACTTAATGTCAGGGGACAACCTTTACCTTTACCAAAGGGGTACTATTTATCTACTCACATGTGCATGTTTTTTAACTGCTAAGTTGGCAGGGGCTAGGGCTTACAGTGGGAGCTCACCCCATACCATGGATTTGAACTGCCAACCTTCAGGTCAGCCGTTCAGCAGCACAAGGATTTAACCCATTGCACCAAGGCAGCCCTAATATGCATCAGATCTGTCATTGCATAGATGGAGAGATAGACAAATACACACCGATAGCTAACTAGAAAGATCTGTTAGTATGTAGTTATCGGATATCTGTGTCAGATCTAGCAGTATATAGATATCAGAGAGACGGGTAGTACATAAATTGATAGGTCAATAGATAGATCAATGTTCGTACATATACAGTAATAGGTAAATAGATAGATCTATTCATTCATAATTATAATTATCTATGCCAGATAGAAAGTACATTGATGGATAGATTTATCAGTCTATAGATATATTACAGCGATAGATAGTACATCCAGTTCTTGTGGGTTTTTTCGGGCTATATGGCCATGTTCTAGAGGCATTTCTCCTGACGTTTCGCCTGCATCTATGGCAAGCTTCCTCAGAGGTGAGGTCTGCTGGAGCTGGGAAAAAAGGGGTTTATATAGTACATCGTTATCAAGTCTCTATATCAGCTCTGTCGGAGCTCCTGGTGGTGCAATTGGTTAAACCTATGTGCCGTCAGGACTGAAGGCCGGAGGTCCGAATCCAGGGAGAGTGCGGATAAGCTCCCTCCGTCAGCTCCAGCTTCCCATGCAGGGACATGAGAGAAGCCTTCCACAAGGATGATAAAAACATCAAAACATCCAGGCGTCCTCTGGGCAACGTCCTTGCAGACGGACAATTCTCTCACACCATAAGCGACTTGCAGTTTCTCAAGTCGCTCCTGACACAGAAAAAAAAAACAGCCCTATCATTAGATAGGTATCAGGGAAATAGTTCACAGTCTTGTGTAATACCAGCTAGTGACTTCTATGTTTGAAGGAGTTGAATCAATCCAGTTGTTAAGACAACTACCCAAGGTGTTGGAGTTATTGGCAGACACTATGCATGCATAATTCTTTCAAAGTTTGGACTAAAACTTAAGAGCAGATCTGGCAGTTCTTTGACCCACTACTATATTTTTGGGCTGGACCAGAGGTTGGAGGTTGGAGAAAGCTGACGTAGGTACTGTTGTTTTCTTAGGCACGCTATTCATAGCTGTGAGGGCACATCAGTCCTTTTTCTCTTCTGTGATACTTCCTTGTTTGTTCACCCAGCAATCTGTTCTGTCCTATTTTTGCAATAACCTGTGAAATTGTTTTGGAAAAAAAGTTCCAAAATGCTTTCTGAAAATATGTCTTTTAAAATACTTCCTCTCAAAATAGTCATTTATAACCTAGCCTGATACTATTTTGAAGCAGAAAGTGTGAAAGCCGGTGGGGAGCTGCATGTTGCAATATGCCTATTAGTCTGCGGGATGCAGTTTGGTTCAGTTTGCATTTGAATTCCTAAAGATCCATGGCTCAAACATTTACAAGGATATGTTGAAACCTATTTCTCACTGGAGTCTACTACGTGTCCAAAGGAGGACAACAGACATGAGTCTGGAAGACAAACCCTATGAGGAGTGGCTTGGGGAGTTGGTTATGTTTAGCCTGGAGACAAAAAGGTCGAGAAGGAACATGTTAGCTATGTTTGAATACTTGTAAGAATGGTGGACCCAGCTTGTTTTCTGCTTACCTAAAAAACTAGAATAAGGAGCAATGAGCTGAAACATTAGAAAGAATCTTGTGATGGTAGGAACTGTTTGATAGTGGAATATGCTCCTTGGGAGTGTGGTGGGATTGCCTTCTCATGGGGTTTTTAAACAGAGGGTTGATGGTTATCTGTCAGAAATGCTTTAATTTTTAATGTTCTGCATGATGGAGCAATGTGGATTCTAAGAATTAAGCTTTTGAAGCTATGGAGATGGCCAGTTGGATGAATGGATCTACCATGATAAAGGGTTGGATGAATGGATCTACCATGATAAAGGGTTGGGTGAATGGATCTACAATGATAACGCATTGGATGAATGGCTCTACCGTGATAAAGCGTTGGATGAATGGCTCTACCATGATAAAGCATTGGATGAATGGCTCTACCATGATAAAGCGTTGGATGAATGGATCTACCATAATAAAGGGTTGGGTGAATGGATCTACAATGATAACGCATTGGATGAATGGATCTACCATGATAACACATTGGATGAATGGCTCTACCATGATAAAGCGTTGGATGAATGAATCTACCATGATAAAGCATTGGATGAATGGATCTCCCGTGATAAAGGGTTGGATGAATGGATCTACCGTGATAAAGCATTGGATGAATGGATCTACCATGATAGAGCATTGGATGAATGGATCTTCCATGATAAAGTGTTGGATGGATGGATCTACCATGACAAAGCGTTGGATGAATCGATCTACCATGATAAAGTGTTGGATGAATGGATCTTCCATGATAAAGTGTTGGATGAATGGATCTACCATGATAGAGCATTGGATGAATGGATCTTCCATGATAAAGTGTTGGATGGATGGTTCTACCATGACAAAGCGTTGGATGAATCGATCTACCATGATAAAGTGTTGGATGAATGGATCTACCATGATAGAGCATTGGATAAATGGATCTTCCATGATAAAGTGTTGGATGAATGGATCTTCCATGATAAAGCGTTGGTTGAATGGATCTACCATGATAAAGCGTTGGATGAATGGCTCCCAAAAAGAAAGTAAGTGTTGAGTAGAACACAAAAACTTTGCTTGTGTGCCAGAAACTTCAAAATGTCTGGAGGGCACATTTGCTCTGATCAGGACAAAGTTGTGGCCC